TGGTAATACACTGAATGTTCTTTTGGCACTCCAGTATTTTTAACCTTTATATACTTTTTATTGTTGGGAATATACTGGGTATGTTGTTGTTGTTGTTGTCTGTATATACTTTTTATTGTTTGTTTATTTTTGTAATATATTATATATGCTTTTGGCTTTCCAGCATTTCTTCTTATAAAAAAGGCTGCTTTATTCATGTCTGTATGTGTGCGTTATCAAGGAGTAACACCCTTTTTTGGGGAAATTTCTTGTATAGATCGGATTACTTACCAAAAGGTAGCTTAGGTCCTAGACAAAAACGCTGTTTTTCCATCACATTTACTTTTGATTGCATGATTTTCTCCATGAAATGAATATCTGATACTTGATTCTTCTATCTGAAGCCTGGAACATTTTATGCTTTGCCTCAAAGCCCACAGCTCTTCAAGCAGATGCTTATGGTCTCGGGTTTTGATAAGTACTATCAAATAGCAAGGTAAGACAAACTGGGTAGTTAGATTCTTTTCCTTTTCTTTTGGTACTATGCATGATACGCTTGCTACATATTACTCGTACTAAATTATTTCTCCTTGTACTATCAATATAATTTTTGTCCCCAATTGTAAAACTTCTGTACAAGTCCGCATGCTCGTAATTGTGGTTTGTTATCCAAACTCGACGAACAATGAATTTTTGGCTTATACTCTTTTTTTGTTCTTGCTTTACAGGTGTTTTAGAGATGAAGATTTAAGAGCCGATAGGCAGCCCGAATTTACCCAGCTGGACATGGAAATGGCATTCACTCCTCTTGAGGACATGCTGAAACTCAATGAAGATTTGATTAGAAAGGTTTGTTGCATTGGTCCAGGATTCTCTATTAAATAATTTGTCCTGGATGAGTAATGCCATTGTTTAGTAATTAAGGATTCCCCTTGGCAAGTATGTTTGAAGAGGGGATGTTTCTATTCTACCTATTTTTCTGTATCGTTCTTTTGGTTTGTGTTTGTATTTTTCTTGTCTGTCTAGTAGGTTTATTTTGTTTGTGCTGGTTTTGTTGTGTAGTCTCACCTTAGTGGAGTGTAGAAGTCTCCCATCTGGAGTATTTTGATTTTTTGTTTATTTGTTTTGTTTTTGTGATGTGTTCTTTTTTCCAGTGTAGCCCCCTTGGTTGTCTTTGTACCAAGGGAGTGTCTGTACCTCTAATAGGTTTTTTATTTACTATATAATAATTAATATCATTTGAAAAAAAAAGGTTTCTTAGTGAACCAGACCATTTAAAAATGACTGGGAAACTGAATGTGGTTTTTCATTTTAAAGTTCAGCCAATAGGGCTATCGTGTTACTTTATGTGGTTGCTGAGTTTGTTCAGGGGCTGCGCTCCTTTATCGGCATGCATTTATGTATCTCATCAGTTTGAAGTCTTAGTTATATTCATCTTGGCAGAGTAGTTCAATTGTACGGAGTTCATCAGTTCCAAATAACCTTGCAGGTTTTTCTTGAGATCAAAGGAGTTGAGCTGCCGAATCCTTTTCCAAGGCTAACATATGCTGAAGCTATGAGCAGATATGGATCAGACAGACCAGATACACGCTTTGATCTTGAACTGAAAGATGTAATCACTTTGTTGCAACATCTGTAACTGTTTTATTGTCATTTTCATTGGAACCCGAAAATATCAATACTTATATGATTGTGGAACTTTGAAAGAATTAATCGATAAACATATTTAATGGACCACTATTTTCTTCTGGGGTTATTACTATGTATATCTACTATAGTGAATTATGTTGGACATATGAACGTATTCATTTGCATTAGTCAAGTGTTCTTTTCCCAGTGATTTGATCATCTGTAAACTGCTATTCTTTTAATTTGCTCTACTGATAGTGTGATTTTTTTTATATGTAATTGCTTTTCTTCTGGATGGAATGGAAGATGTAGCGTATATGTAATTAGATCTTTGATGTTTCTTTTTGTTCCCTCCCTATCGATTTTTCTAGTGAAATTGTGTTCTTCATGCAGGTATCCAATTTCTTTAGGAATTCGTCCTTCAAGGTTTTTGCAGATGCCTTGTCGTCTGGGGGTATTATTAAAGCACTGTGTGTACCTTCAGGGGCCAAAAGCTATTCAAATAGTGCTCTTAAGAAGGGTGATATTTACAATGAAGCTATTAAATCTGGAGCAAAGGGTTTACCTTTCTTAAAGGTCTCAACTGATGGTAACGAAGATACATCCTATAAAGTATGTTCTTCACAGGTTGATATAGAAGTTGCTATTATTGATTTGTAGTAATGTACTATTGCAGGTGCCCTTGAAGGGATTCCAGTGCTAGTATCGAGTTTGGGCAAAACTGATAAAGAACATTTACTGAATATACTGTGTGCCAGTTCAGATGATTTAATATTATTTGCGGTGGGTAACCCTACATCAGTTAATAAAACTTTAGACCGCCTGAGACTTCATGTAGCTCATGAATTGAGCCTGATTGATCCTGTAAGTTACAACTGTATTTTTTTAACCCGTTATTATTATAGTTTTACATGCTGCTACTATCATTTTTATTTATTCTTATGTCATGTGCAAACCTATTTTTTAATATAGCAATTTTCTTGTCTGAACTTTATATTGTTCATCTATGGTTCTGTTAGTCAAGGCATTCTATCCTATGGATTACTGAATTTCCGATGTTCGAGTGGAATGAATCTGAGGAAAGGCTTGAGGTTTGTACGATCGTTTTCTTTCTTTCTTTCTTTCTTTTTTCCTTTAATCAATATTCAATATTGGAGATGAATTGCAATAAACATGTCATTGAATTTGTAGCTAATTTGTATTTTACATGAATGATATATTCATAAATTTTGACTATGACATGATGAACACTGATACAATGATATCTCTTTTGAAGGCCTTGCATCATCCATTCACAGCCCCTAACCCTGATGATATGAAGGACCTAACTTCTGCCCGTGCCTTAGCTTATGACATGGTTTACAATGGCGTTGAGGTGCACATAATTCTCGTTTTGGTTTCACAAAGAAGCCATCTGAATTAGAAGTACTCATAGATGTGATTTAATGTTTATTTGTTAGATTGGTGGAGGGAGCTTAAGAATCTACAAACGCGAAGTCCAAGAGAAGGTTTTGGAAATAGTTGGCATTTCCCGTGAACAAGTAAACTTTTTGTTTTTGGAAATCATTCTGCCGAAAGTCGATTGTCGTGAATACTTTTTACAGTTGTCATTTTCCTTTTCTTCTCATTTTATTTTATTGTTATTGTTGTTATTCTTTTCAGGCTGAAGCCAAGTTTGGGTATCTTTTGGAGGCTCTGGACATGGGTGCTCCTCCACATGGTAATTTCTGTTAATACCCTAAATTTGTTCTATATTGATTTAAAAATTATGGAATTATGAATTGAGTTTACCTTGTCCATGAATAGAGAATGCTAGATAAAACTAAAAGTAATAAAAAAACGAAGAATCCTGAAAGATATAGGATAAAACTATGAACTTCAAAGGACAAAAAATCCTTAAAACTGAAAAACTCTTGAGAAAAAGTAAAAGAAGTAACGATTTTTGCCCCGAGTCTTTGAATGAATTCGCATGGTTTTTTGTGCAGGAGGTATTGCTTATGGGTTGGATAGACTGGCGATGCTTTTGGCAGGGACGAACTCGATTAGGGATGTTATAGCCTTCCCAAAAACAACTACTGCCCAATGTGCCCTTACTCGTGCACCTTCTGAGGTTGATCCCCAGCAACTAAAGGACCTATCCTTTCATACAACGTTAAGTTCTTGAAAGTGCTTCCATTTTCACCTTTACTCTTTTGTGTATTTCACATTTGCTCATAGTTTCTCTTGGAAAAGAAGATGGTCAGAGCTACAATCAAAATGTGTGCACTAATGTGCAATAGCTTTTGATTTTGACTCGGAGAAATAATAAAGACCAAGTTGTCTGGCATATATTCTTTATCTTTATTTTTATTATTTTGTTTTTGTTTCTTGTATATTGTGCATGATTATCAGCATATATCTTTTCGCCCCGTCTAATACGCAATAGATAAACGAATAATACTAGTACCAAGGATAATAATGTGTACGCAGTATAATAATGCTGTCTGAAAGTTGATTCAAGAAATTTATTTTTTAAATTATGTTTATAATGATTTTGGTATTTTTAGTTGGTATATGGAATTGATTTTTTAAAGAGTAGATGTAAATATNAAATATTTTCTTGAAACCCCAACTATTAGTTTTATTTAAAATAAAACTTATGTATCATACAGAATCGTAATAATTTTTTAAGCATATTATATAAAATCATGATATATTTTTATGCACATTTGTTCAAACACTTGTATGCTACATGAATTAGTCATAACGATGAAACCGGCCCAACGAACAGACCCGAACAAGCACGTGGTCAACGGTTTTGGAATCGGTTCGGTTGGGCGCCGAAATTCCAATTTATAATTTGATTTTTTCCTGAATTGCTGGGCCGATTCTGAATTGGGACTGCCTGTTTAATGAACCGGCCCGACCCGGCCATGAATTTTGTCAAATGACCATAATTTTTCTAGCTATTCATATAACATTGCATGTTAGTGTATAATTAGATTGATAGATAAATGTATTTTTTTTATAATAACTTTAATATTTTAGGATTGACAAATAAATACAATTTGCATTTCCAAATGTAAATATAGTTATTAATTGTTTTATTCCATATATGGGATATGAATGTCACAACAAGATTGTATATCAATTTTATCTACATCCATAGCTAAATTAATTTTTTTTATTATCTTGTTATTCATGATTAATATATATATATTTTTCTTTTATTTATAGAGATATAATTAGATTTTATTATATATAATATAAATATCAATTAAAAAATCACCAAAATTTGCTCAATTCGGTATATGAAAAACCGACACAAATATATATATAGATATATATGTATTAAAAAAAAGTTATTATGTTTTTCAATATAATAAGAAACCCATTTATAATTTTAGTTCGCAAGGGTCCTATCCCACTCTGAAGTATAGACTAATCACGTTCACGTATAATATCCTAAATCACTAAAAAGATGATTTAGAATTTTGCAATCCATGAAACACCATAAGATGACACTAGAAACTCATTATCAATTTTTATATATATAATAACGGTGATTTCCACATGATGTGTGAAAAAAAAAATTAGGCTCTGCATGTTATATTTTTCCCCCCAACATGAAAACATAACCAGCTTAAAATGGCCGTTCACCGTTATAATTCCCCGGCGGATCATAATTGCAGGTGACGAAGGTCCACCCATTCTTACACAACGCCCTACCACACCCAACCCTAGTCGAACTATTCCACACAACTTGCGTGTAATGCAAGCATTCCCCACCCACACAACTATTAGACTCCAAATCGTACGCATTCTTTTCACTCACCCACATGTCAACGGCTTCCTTGGCGCTCAAGTCCCATGATCCGGCTGCCAAGTTTTCTCCGTAGGGCCCACTTGAGTGTTGCATTGCACAATCTTGAGATCGTTCGTTTGCGTAATTTTCAGCAAAAGCCTCTACTTTAGAGTCCCACACGAGTGGCTGCACGCCAACTTCTGCTCGGGCTGCATTGTGGGCATCCACAAAGTCTTTGGGCGAATTTTGAGCGTGTGCCGAGATTATCAAGAAAATAATGAGGGGAATTGGGGTTTTTAGCCAAGTCATTTTTTTTTTATTTTTCTTTTTTTTGTATTTTTGTTGGAATTGAGATGGGAAATTTGTTTACTAGCTAGTTTTATAATTAAGAGAGTTAAGTTGAGAAAATAACGCTTGGGAGAGAATTATGGAAAATTGATTATGGAAATTACTTGTTGACCAAACTAGGGGTAGAGAAAGGGATTTATGTTTGACTAGAGGGGGGATGTCATTAACTCAATAATGTAAAAAAATGTTACGATCAATAATTTAGGCGTGTCTCAAACTTTCATAGCAAAAAGAAATTACACAATTTCCAGTGACAGATTAAACACTGTCGTATTTTCAGCTAATAACTTTATCCAACGATCAATGCAATGGTTTGAGGTGGAAAACTTGACAGGCTGACTTGTAGGACTTCTTGGTTGCTGCCTGCTCAAATTTCTTGACAGCAGATTCATTTTCCTCTAAGCTGGTCTGGAAGAAAAATCTTATCCACCAAGATGAGCTTCGCAATTTAGCCTAAAAAATGTAGACCAACAAGTTAACTTTAAGAGTTTAACTAAAACGTGAGATTTTATCGAGTTCAGAATTTAGAATCTCATGGTTAGCCAGCTGAAAAACAACTTAACATTATTGTCAATGTAGTGAACAGGAAAAATAAAGCCAGCTGAAAGACAACTTAACATATTTCCTTATTTTAATAATTTAATGAAACCATTATTGTTAATGTAGTGAACAGGAAATATGTACTAGACCGACAGAAGAATATAGGATAGGTATCATGTTGATTTTGTACTTGCCTAAACAAAATCTGATTTACGTTTAAAATTGTCGAAGATTCAATCAGTTAATTTAGATTCTTTTTCCATAATTCTCATTCAATTCTATCAGATGCATAAAGATGACAGAAAATGCTGAGTGAGTAGAGGAAATCAAATATACATATTATACATATAGTAAAAGAATGAAATGTTGACACTTACTGGGCGTCCAAACTTGGATAGCTCAGCCACTTTAGCTCTCTGCTTACCTGGGTAACCTGCATTTGTATGGCAAATCTAAACTAGTCAGCCAGAACCGATTACAAGATTATCCTTTACACGTTTGTAGGTATAGTTGACTAAACAGTCACGTTCAGCCGTCTCTCTTACTCCACTTAGTAAGTCAAGAGTTTATGGACATAAGCCACAATTCTTTAACAGGAAGGCTAGTAGTTATTCGAGAAGGAATTTCACCAAGTAGCATTGTAATATGAAATCAATGGTTTAGCTTCTTGTGACATGCAAAACTTTTAACTCGAAGAATCATTCAACCTAAAGTTAAAAATAATTACAACTACTACCTAGGTGTTAATTTTTTATTTGAAAGAAAAATGAAAAACAAAATCTAGTATCTTTAAACATTACCCTTCTTGTGGAGTTACAAGTACCTCATATGTTGTGTTTTGTGTTAGATATAGTGCCTTCAACAGGAAATATAACCACAAGACAAGGGGTTAGTAATTGTACAATATGACTGGAGCTTTTGTATTATGCAAACTTCAGGGATAGGCTTTATAATAATTCATGCCAAGTAAATGACCTAATCCAGTTAACATAATCTTTTTGGTAAGTTATGATTTGTCTGATAAGTCAATGAATTTAATAATAGTCATGGAAAATTCATTATTTTTGCAGAGTGCCTTAGTTCTTTGGTAGCTGGAAATCAAAGAAAACAAACAGTGTCCAAAAGATCAGTACATTTTGTGGCCAGACCCACAACATGTACTCCAATTTAGCTTATATCATCCTCCAATTGAGTCCACATGTCAAAAAAAAAAAAAATCATGAAAAAGAAAATTCAACACAAGGATGTACACACTCAAAATTGGGTTATGGATTTCGTTAAAAGTTATCTGGGATTTAGCAATTTTTTATTTTGTGGAGATCAAATATTTGAACTGAGAGTGCTTTCGGCTTCACACACTTTTCAAACAAAGTATCTACAGAACTATGGAAGCATGATTTGGAATATGATCACATAATTACCGGAAAATATAACCAAGCCGTCAGCAGACACCCTAGCAAGCTCCGGAACAGTCTTGTTGAGATACTTGGGCGACAAGTAATCTAATGCATCTGAGACTATGACAAGTGAGAAAGATTTAGGCCTGTACGGAAGAGGAAACTTGATATCAGCCACACGCACGACGCCTTTGTGCACTAGGCTCTTGCAGTTTCTATCGGGTTCGTCCAGCTCATATGGCTCTACACCCCAAGCTTCTGTATCCTCTTCTTTTAGTAGCTGAGAGACTACTGAGCAGGTATCGGGCCCCACATGCAACACTTTACGCATACTATCGCCATATGCTTTCTTTAGAATAGGTACTACTCTCTGAACTTCTTGAGTACATGAAACACCACCTGCATATAATACATGGTAACGTATTACACACAATAAGTTTCCTATATGATAAGAAGAAAAAGAAGCGGGGTGAAGATGATGTGGCAATGGCAGGCAGTGGGAGCCACCCTGCACTCAGTCTCCCATGCCATCTTCATCCACGATTTAAAACAAAGTAAAAATTAATAATATTAAAAAAGAATGAAAATTAGTTAGAAGAAAGCTGAAGTCCATCCGTCTTCATTCAAGAAAAGCACAAAAATACAGAAATAAAGAAAACAGTGAACTTATAAGATTTTTCTTTTTTCTTTTCTTGGAAAAGATTCCTCTAATCCAATGTCTTTGCAGAGAGCATATTAAATTTATATAAAGATAAAATGCATGTATTAACAAAAAGAATTGTAGTTATATGATTTTTCTTAGGAAATATTTCTCGGCGCACCCTACTTTATCATCTTCGCCGCTGCCATTTGGTGGCTAAAGTGGTAGATATCAGAGACAAACATCTTATTTTTTATCTGAATTATTAAACAAAAGAAGTGGAAAGTATACAATCTTTTCCAAGGAACAGATTATATCTAGTATTGATGCCATCGTCTTGTACTGGAAAGAATTTATTGATCCTGTAAGCTATAACAAAGGATGGGATTAAACTAATATGGACTACGTTTAATTCATAAGGAATTACCATCAAGTCTATTTAAAGCGCCAATGTCGCCACTCCTGCCACCTATCGGCAAACGATTTAAAAGTCAGCATAACTGCAAATGACGGAATTAACAAGAAAATTGCCTGGACCATTATGTCAAAGCTTCCAACAAATTATTTAGGGCATATAAGTGTGTGAATTATATGTCCAAAAACTTAACACACACAGACCTGAGCCATGATACACATAACCAACAATCAGCAGAGCTCCCTGGTAAAATGGAAACACAAATAAGTTAATGTTTGCATACTAACAATAACAATATAACAGTTTGCTGATTATGAATTCAAGGTAGGGAAGCATACTCTTCAATGTTAGTTATTAACAGGCTCATTACCAGATATATACATACAGGAGGGTATTAGAATCACCCTAATCATACACTTAATGATGCAAGCACACACAAACATACATGTGCAAGCGAGCGCACACAAAC